ACCAAGTTTGTATCATCTGCATTATCACAGGTTGTTAATGAGTCTTCCCTACAATCCTGATGCCACGTTTTTCTTCATATAACCCAGCTTTCTTGGATTATTTGCTCAGCACACAGGTTGAATAAGTATGATGAAAGAATGTGAGTACAACCTTGTCACACACCTTTCTTAATTTTAAAGCATTTAGTGTTCCCATAGCATCATACATATGTCCTATATAAATCCATGTGTACACATATAGACATAAATGTAGCCTTTGTGTGTGTGTGTGTGTGTGTATTTAAGTGACTTTCTGTTTTGCAACTTGCTTTCTCCACTTTGCATTGACAGCTTTCAATATCAAAATAAAGATCTAAATTATTCCTTAACAATTGGACAGAACACCATAACCTGGATATGCCATAATATTCATTTTGTTTGTTTGTTTTACCACCAAGAAGAATACTGCAATTAATGTTCCTGTGTAAATATATCTGTATTTATATACATCTAGATAAATTCCAAGAATGGGAATAGGTGAAAGATGGATACTGCTATACTGTCTTCCAAAAATGTTTATACCAATTTACTTTATGGGGTAGATTTTAACAAGAAAAGATTTTTTAAAGCATAACATAAAAACTAGAAGCCATAAAGTCAAAGAAAAGTTTTACAATGAAAGAACTGAAAATGTCATAAATCAAAAATATCATAAAGTCAGAGTACTGAAGGCTTTTACCTTTGGGAAGGGGTAACTAAGTCTTCTAACATTTATAATTAATTTAACACCTTTTTAACTATAATGGCACTAGGTCTGTAAAGGTAGGAATCAGTGCATTCTTATCACTACTACCTTCTTAGGAACAAGTACAATACCTGATTCATAGGAGCTTCTCATATAGTAAATAAGACATAAGCAACTCAATAGAAAAATTGGATGAGGGAAACCATACAAAAAGCAAAAAAAAATGGCCAATAAACAGAGAAAAGGACGCTCAAACTTCAATTCCACTACTAGAAATTTAACTTAGAGAAACAAAAGTGTTAACTATTTAGAACTAATTAAATCCAACTAAACTGCTGATGTTCTCTCTGCCCAGCCCAGCACTGCCTCTATACCTTTCTACTGCAGGCTTACTGAGTAATTAAAATGCCTTAAAGAATTCATTGTACCACTGTTTATATAGAAGGAAAAAAATTGGAAGCAAAACAGGTGTCCATGAATCAAGGATTAATTACATAAGTATGGAACAACTACAAAATGCAGCAATATAAAAGGCTTCTAGAAAAATAGCTAACTGCTTAAAGGAAATCCAAGTGAGAAGGCAAAGAAAAGGGTTCTGCTAGAAGGGGTAATGAAAGCAAGTGTGGACTGAGGTTGGGGGTGAATAAAGGAAAAGTGCATACCAGAAAGGCAGACTGACAGCTGTTCATCATCCACTGGAGATGCTTTTTGACTGTTCTTCCCACCTCCCACTTGGTTTTCTAGTTTGAGTCCACTACACATCAGAGGAGCCTCCAGTGGACTTTTACAGTAAGGGTGGTCCAGCAATTTAGAACTAAGAATGTTCTGCTTGAGAGAGCCCTCCTCCTCCATCTGGCATGAGCTCTCACTTTGCATAGTCTCTTCAGACACAGCCTTATCTAACCCGGACACTGACAGTTTTACTCTGTTGTCACTGACATGACTTGTCCGACCATCCTGGTCCAGAGTCACAATTTCTCTTTCCGTTTCTGAGATGAACATGCTACTAGAGTGATGTTCTGGTAAAGGGATGTCCCACTTAGGAGAGGAAGAAGCTGTCTGGTCCCAGGTGTATACAGCACTGCCATTCTGTTGGTCAGGGACTGCTTCCCCTAAACTAAGCTCCTTGCCAAAGAAAGGACTTCCTCTAGTGTGGCCATCAGATGTATGAGAGTTCTTTTCTATCACCTCAGCATCGCTGTCCATATCTGGGAAGTATGGCTGATGCCGACAAGCAGAGTCGTTAGGTTCTGAAGAAGAAAATGGGCTGCAGCTGCCACCCTCACAGTTCTCCCTACAGGTCTCTTGATAGTCCCCAGTGACTTTCTGTACCCAGCTACGCTGGGATTTTTTTTGTTTACAAACTTTGCTTTTTGTTCTTAAGTGCTGGGATCTGAGAATTCTGTACCGAAATCTAATCATGGATGATTTCTCATACATCATAAGAGGAGATACTTTTATTCTTCTATGCTGGGTAAGTTGGAACTTTTTTGGAATCAGAGGTCCCCCATTTCCACAGTGCTCCAGCCCTTGACAGCAGCCATAACAAAAGCGCTTTCTCCTATGATTGCTCAAGGTGACCACAATTGTGCCACTCTCACCTGGACTTTGGCTCTCCTCATTGAACTTCATGGGAAAGTCAGAAGCGTGTGAATCAGTCCTAGGTCTGTGCCCACTGGCCTGACCTAAAACACCACTGGCTGGAAAGTCAGCAACTGCCTTTAAAAGACTTTTCTCTCCACTGTACTCATGGTCAGAGTTCTTTGCTAATGACAGCAACTTTTCAGATTGGAGCTCCAGGAGGGTCCTTGAGGAAGAAATGAATTGTTTAGCGCCCTTTCTGTTCACTTTAGAGGAAAGAGTACTGACACTTTGAGCAGCCACATTTGACTTGGTCTTAGCTAAAAGGGATTCATCCTGGATCCACGTTTTCTGGACTTGAGCCTTCTTTCTGCACTGGAAATATCTCAATTGTCTGCTCCAAGTAACTGGCCTTCCCAGCTTAGCTTTCAGAATGCACAAGTGTTGATGAAAGTAGAATTTCTTAAAGCCTCCAAACCCAGTATTCCATTTCTCAGAAAAGGCTAAGTGGATTCCTTTCCTCCATAGAATTTTCCTCTGTTTTCTCATTTTTCTGATGCATAATGAGATCTGGATGCAACTGTAAAGAGAAAGAATTTACATTTTAATTCTAAATACAAGGTAATAAAGATATATCAACATCCATATCTTGTACTCTGCTGTTGTACACCGTCGAGTCAGTTCTGACTCCTAGTGATACTATATAGGGTTTTTGAGACAAAAAATCTTCACAGAAGCCAAAAACCTCAACTTTCTCTATAGAGAAGTTGATGGGTTCAAACTGCTGATCATGCAATTAGCAGCCCAACACATAACCCACTATGCCACATGTCAACATAAGGTAGAAATTTCTCTTAAAAGCACATATAAGAATACCAGGCAAAGCAGATCCAGGGCAGAGCTCCAAAACTCAGAACCACAGAGATAGGAATATTTTAAAAGTTTGAAAGCTTATAGCATGTGGAAATTGGAGCTGAAGTAAAAAATCATGTACTTTTGAATCTGCTGGGCAGGGCTCAGAGGCCCAGAGCCGACATCTTGGGCACAACCAAAAGGCAAGACCAAATGGGGGAAGCAGAAACACCACGGAAAAACGCCACAGGAACCTTGGGACAAAGGTGGACAATATATTTTTGTCAGTTTGCTTTGTTCTGATTTTCTTTCTGGCATTGGTGTGCGTACCATTAGCCCACCACCATTCTGGTGACTAGAGGGGAAGCCTGAGGGTGTGGTCACCCCCCACCCTCACCAGTGGTGGGTTCTTCTGCCACGCATGTGCACAGATACTCAACCCAAGAGCAGGACCTGAACTTTTCTTATTTGTTTGTTTTCTGTTCTGTTTTTTAACACGGGAAAGAGCAGGAGAGGGCTGTAGAGATAGAAAGAGAGTTTAAAAGCAAAACAGGCCGAAGGTTGGACTGGAGCCTGAAATATAGCATAACAACCAACACTGGCATCTTGGAATCTCTCTGGCAGCTTTAAAGGAAGAAGCTGAAGAGATGACATTTAAGTCATACTCATATTTGTTGTTGTTGTTGTTAAGTGCCGTCGAGTCGGTTTCGACCCATAGCGACCCTGAATAGGGTTTCCGAGGCTGTAGGCTAGAGATTTTTTTTTTTTCCCCTTCTTTTTCTTCTCTCCCTCCTCTCCCTTTTCTGTGATTAGAGACTGCAATACTCAGCCCAGTTTTTATTGTTGCTGTTTTTTAGTCTTTTTTTCTTTCTTTCTTTCTTTCTCTCATTTTTTTTCCTGCTGGCGTTGTTTTGCTGTTATATGCCCACCCTTCTGCGTTTTGAGAACTCTTTGTCTCCCTATATTACACAAGAAGAGACAGGAATTGCTGCCATATAGTCAAGCTACAATCAATCTCTATAAAACACCAAAATCCAGGCAAGAACCAATACCAACTGCCATATACCAGGGAAACAGACAACACCTGTGAAAGTTACTTTGAGTTAAGCAATAAGAAGAGTGAAAAGAGAAGCCCACATCCTGATCACATCTTCCTGGAAGCAATCAGAAAGCATAAAAAATACCAAAACACATACTCAATTAAGTATTAAGGCAACAGATAAAAACACCCTATTTGTAGACAATATGATCCTATCTATACGTAGAAAAACCCAAAGACTCAGTAAAAAAGCTACTAGACCTCATTGGAAGATTCTGCAAAGTGGCAGGATATAAGATCAACATACAAAAATCAGTTGGATTCCTCTATACCAAAAATGACAGCATTGCAAAGGACATTAGGAAAGCAATACCATTTACAATAGCTACCCAAAGGATGAACTATCTAGGAATAAATGCAACCAGAGAAACAAAGGACCGATACAAACAAAACTACAAAACACTACTAAAAGAAACAAAAAGAGACGTACAAAAACGGAAGAAGGTACCATGCTCCTGGATAGGAAGATTAACATTGTGAAAATGTCAATACTGCCCAAAGCAATTTACACATATAATTAAATCCCAGTCCAGATTCCAACAACATTCTTCAAATAGACGGAAAAAAACAATTACAAACTTTATATGGAAAGGAAAGAGACCCAGGATAAGCAAAGCACTGCTTAAGAAGAAGAATAAGGTTGGAAACCTCTCACTTTCTGACTTCAAAATTTATTACATGATTACAGTGCTCAAAATAGCTTGGTACTTGTACAATGAAAGATACATGGATCAATGGAACAGAATCCAGATTCCAGAAATTAACCCATCCACATACAGCCAATTGATTTTTGACAAAGTACCTAAATATATCGCATGGGGAGGTGTTAGTCTCTTCAACAGATGGTGCTGGTAGAACTGGAAAGCAATATGCAAAAGACTGAAACAAGACCCTCACCTCACACCTTATACAAAACATGGATTAATCTCAACATGGATTAAAAACTTAAATGTGAATCCCAGAATTATGAAGGCCATCAATGAAAAAATAGGGAAAAATGTGTGGGAACTAATTCAGGGAATACACACACTACCAAACATTTTGAAAACCACACAGACAAAAGTTGACAACATTGATGACTGGGATATACTAAAAATTAAAAACTTATGTGCATCAAAACACTTCACCAGAAGAGTAAAATGAAACCCACAGAATGGGAAAAAATATTTTGCAACAACACATCAGACAAGGAACTCATTTCTAAAATATATAGGAAACTA